TTTTTGTTGGATTTCTTTCCCAGCTCTGACACACAGAGGTCTGACCAGCACGTCTAGAGTAGCTGCTCCTTCCCGTGTGCTCACTGGCTCCGTCAGCACCACGGCATCGATGTAATGGACAAGTGTGACATCCCACGGCAGGAAACGGCAATCAGATTGGCAGAGAATCAAAGTGTGGCAGGGGCTGGAGTACGGGTACACCCGGAGGCAGGAAAGTGCAGATGGGCTGCTGGCCTTCCCAGCTGAAAGCAGACTGCTTCTGGTAGTCTTCATTAGCAGGGACAGAGGAAAAAGAACATGTACCAGATCAAGAGCTGCACACCAGGTACCAGGAGATGTGCTCATTTGCTCAAGCCATGAAAACATGTCTGGTACAGAAGCTGCACCTGTAGTTTCCACCCAGTTACCGCCATGTTTGACTCTCATTCTCCAGGATCCATCTGTCCTCTGCACAGGCCAACAGGAAAGACGAACGGGGACACAGTGGGAATCACCACCTCTGCGCCCTTCAAGTCCTTGATGGCAGCACCAATCTCTGCCATTCCTCCAGGAATGTGGTGTTGCTTTCGGTTTACTGTTGGTGGGGGGCCAGTGGCTGCCACATGGCCTTTCTCATTATAATAGCCCTCACTATGCAGGTTGGGAATCAACGTGGCGATTCTCCCAGGTGCTAAGCATGTCTCCAATTATGCATTCCAGAACTGGGGAAACAGCCATAGCATGGGTTCTGGGGCCATTGAACCCACTGTGAGATGGACCTGAGCTAAAACTCCACAGATCCCCTAATCTCCATAAGCCCCTTCCCTGACCAGAGGGCCACACTGATATACCAGGTCTCCTGGAATTAGTATCAGTTCAGAGCCCAAATCCTGTAGTCTCAGAAAGGTCTGATGATTTCCTTTTTCCCAAAGCACAGTCACCCTGGTAAAAAGCAGTAGGTCCCTTTGGGGAAGGCTGGGAGAAGTATCCACGGTATAAACGTTTGGGACTGTACTAGGGTTCCTTCTCAAAGGAAGGTGGCCTCCCCTTCATTCAAGGAATTCTGAGTCTGTAAACTGGCTCAAGTCTTTGAACTGATTGAGAGATTGTGATTCCCCTGTTTGTATGATTCAGGTTATAATTCTGTTCACTTGACCTAGAACTTCTCTGCTTATACAGATCAAGGAAGAATTTAATGGGCTTCCTATCCATTTCGCTTCTAGGAACACCACAATCAACTAGCTGATGTCATAGGTATTTGAGAGTCAGACTACTTGATTGCTGCCTAGACCCTGCTGTCCCTCAGCATAACCATACCCACCTTGTCTTCGGTGGTGCCAAGAATGCTGCTCTTGGTCATGCCACCCAGGATCCAGTTACTCCCATTGCATTTAGGTTTCCCAACTGAGTGGCTGCCGTTCTGGCCCAAAGAGACGAGTGACCACAGAGGTCTTGAAAGATGCTGGGGTTCCCCTCACAAATCTGTTTCACACAGTAGTTGTACAAGGGGAGTCTTCTGGGCCCTCCCAGGGCAAGTAGCCCTTAATCAACAAATTCACTCTGACACTCCAACCTCCCAAAGCCTTTCAATCCTTCTCTACATTGAACCAGAGCAGGTCGGGCATTTTCGGTTCGTTTTCTACAGGTCATCATTTGATCCACGTTTCAGCCAATCGGCAGTCAAATGGCTAGAGCCCTTTCTACCCCTCTGAGCTGCAACATTAAATGCAGAGCCTTTGCTTAGTGAGCCTGTATCAATAAATTCAACATGACCCAACTTGAGGTTTCTTCCACCACTATATTACACAAAACCCTCCATGTCTATTTTCACACACGTGCCCTAGATTTCTATTAACGTAGATTAGGAAACCCGAGCAGCTCTTCTGAGTTTAGCACATCTCTCCATGGTCATAGCCTGTACCACACCTTTGAGGACCTGGTGGGACTGGAGCCTAGGAGTCCTGGGCGCAGGCCGAGGAGCAAGTGGGTGGGTCCTGAGAAGAATCAGTATTGTCTTCCTTCCATAACAACTGCTGCGGGAGAGGCCATCAGTTTCCTCAGGAAATGCAGGGTTAACTCCTGAGAGAGCGGGATGTACTTTTCACTGAAGATAGAAAGACCTCTCTGCTGGCAAAGAAGACCCATTAGAATTTAAGGGCTCAGTGTCTCCAGCTTCATCAGAATCTGGAGAACCCCATTCTAACTTATAGGGTCTCATTTTTTCCCAGTCAATGCCCTCACTTTAACGGTCAACCTCAGCAAGGCTGGGAGTACAACCGACCTTCCGCCAGTTGAAAGAGAAGATTCTGTGTTTGATTCTCAGTAATCTGGGCCTCATGGCTTTAGGCCATACCTAGCAGCTTTTGGGTCACTTTATGCAAAGCAGCTGAGCTGGGAATTCAATTCCCTGAGCTCATCTTTTACTTTCACCACTTTGCCCAGTGGCATTAGGAACAGCAGCCAACCTCATTATATCTATTAGATTTACAAAAGTGTCTGGAAGTATCACACGCACGGTCACCCAGAACTTGTTTCTTACAACCAGTTGATTTCATATCATTATTGCCAGATCACACCGGATCGGCCCACACAGACTACAATGCTCCCTTTACAACTGGAAAGAGTCACTAACAGTCTTTAAATCTAATTACATCAGCGAGCCAATTCCAGAAATTCCAGAACAAATCCAGAAAACTAATCCTTAAAATTCTGTTCCTTTACAACCCTTCTGATACCAAAATCTGCGTTAATCAGGGTTCTCCAGAGAAACGGAACCAACAGAAGATACAGAAAGACATACAAAAACACATACATTTATTGTAAAGAATTGGTTCACACAACTGCGGAGGCTCAGAAGTCCAGACCCAGGATAGCTGTAGAAGATCCAGTATAAGTCTGAAGGCCTAAGAACCAGGGGAGCCAATGGTGTAAGTTCCTCTCCAAGTCCAAGAATCAGAATAGTCAGTGGTGCAAGCTCCAGTCCAAGTCCAAAGGCAGGAGAAGACTGATGCCCCAGCTCAAAGACAGGGAGAAAGACAGAATTCTTTCTTGCTCAGCCTCTTATTCTATTTAGGCCTTTAATGGATAGATGGGGCCCACCCACACTGGGGAGGGCAGTCTGTGTCACTGAGTCCACCAATTCCAGTGGTGATCCCATCCAGAAATGCCCCCTAGACACACCAGAAATAATGTTTAACCGAATATATGGCCACCCTATGGTTCAGTCAATTTGACACATAAAATCAACCATCACAGCATATATGTACAGACTTATACACATGCATATAAGCACATACACATTCAGAAAATATTTACACACACTCACACTAGATAAAGACTCCTGGACACACATGCATACACACACAGAGACACAAACACATTTACACACATCTACATACATACCATGTACACGTGCACACTTTTCCCCAGAACCCACGACAATATTATTGTAACAGCCCCTCCCTACTGTGGCATTTCATTACTTAACTGGGGCCACCATGTGCCTTTGCTGGCCTGGCAGGCCTGGGCATGGCAGGGCCAGAGAATGTGGGTGACTACCCACATTCACAGATGGAAGGGCCCACACCGAGTCCCACATCCACCTGAGCTTCATCCAGTGCGTCTGAGAGTGAGAACAACATATGACACTGTCAGCAGCAGCGATCGGTGACAACACTTGCCCTCCCGGCTCCTGGGAGAGTTAAACCTGTATCCCTGACTGTGTTGGCCATGGGCAAAGTCACCAGTGCTGAGGCCCCTGAGGTCTTGCCTCTCCCTCTGCAGGAGTGAATCCCAGATGGGACACATGAAATCAGGGCACAGAGGCCTGCGGGAGTCACCATCCATAGCCCTGGTGGCACAGTGGCCAAAAGCCAGAGGATTGGAATCTCAGGACCAGCAGAGCAGGGCAGGCAGAGTGATGGGGGACAGTCGCAGCAGCGCCCTTTCCTGAAGGCCACCTCCTGCCATGTGCTAAACTCATTTTCCTGCTAACGGTCTTCACAACAAACCTCCAAGGAGCCAAAGATCTGAGAGGCCCCGAGCGGTTATGTGGCTTGTCCAGTCCTGCAAACCCAGATCTCCCTGTCTGAAACCTGGCATGACCCAGCAGGACCACCTGGGGCACAGCTTCCCAGGGACGGCATTAAAATGAAGGTTCTGACTCCGATGGCTGCACGCAGCCCCTCCCATCGTGAGCTTCAAGGCCCAGGTGTCTTCCTCTCCTTCCCACTGCCTACACTGCCCAGTTCAGAAGCTGGTGCAGGAACTCGCCTGAAGCTGAAGCCATAACTGCTGGCTCTATTCCAAGCCCTGAGCATTTACACTGAGGAGGTCCGCAGATCCTCGCCACAACCTCTCGGGGAAACTGAGGTTGGGAGAGTCTGCTCCCCGCCTAAGGTCACCCAGGTGTTGGGAGGCAGAACGAGGGTTCTGATGCAGGCCATCTGGCTCCAGGGCCCCACCCCAACCCTGGGCTGAGCACGGAAATGAATGCACGGCCAGGAAGCCAGAACCTCTGCGTTCTTTCGTCCTGGGTCGCAAACTGCTCTTTCTCCTCTTTTGTAGAGTTTGAGCCAAAGATTGAAAGTGATCAATCACTTCGTCCGCAAACCCTGCTCATCTGTTTTCCAGGTGCAGAAATCACCAGAGGCAGGGGGAGCACGTGCGCCGAGAGGTTCATCCTGGGAAGCTGCAGTCTGGACCCCGCCTTCCCACGGAGCCACAGCCAGATGCCCACTCATCCCCACAGGGACAGAGAGCCTCCTGCCCGAGGCCACTCGGAACACCAGAAATTTGGGCAGAAGGGGTGTGCAGTTTGGAGAAGAAAATCAAGTGATTCTGCTTCTGAAAATTCCTGCGAATTTTTTCCATGCAACATCTCTTTTGTATGTGGCTCAGGGGTAAAACATTGCACCAGGATTTGCTCACCGGTCTCATTTCTCTTCCTCCTCCCTCAGCAAATGACGGCTGCTTGGAAACTTTCATAAAGGAAGCGGTTGCCTTTGTGGCTGATAGAACTGAAGGTGAAGAGCTGGACAAAATGATTCAGCAGCAAACCACCCCCCTCCCCAGCACCAAGCAGGCAGCCCCCTAGCCCCACCCCTGCCCCTTGCCCAGGGTGTTTTGCAGGGCGGGGTTCCACGCTGTAGCCCCAGCACCTGCCCCTGAGCTGGGACAGCCCACTGCCCTGTGCTGCTGGAGAAGGCTCAGCATGGGTACAAACCACTGCCCTCAACTGCCTGAGAAGAATTGGCATAGCCACCCACCACTGCCCCGCACTGCCCCCACCCGGGCAGCCATGCGGGCGGCTGGAACTCTACTGGTCTTCTGCTGCCTGTTCTTGAGTGCCACCGGGGGCCCTTCCCCAGGTAAGTGGCAGTCTCTCCTGGCCGCTCCCCAGGGGTTTGTTCCTGAGATTGGCCGCTGGCACCTTGGGTCTTCCCCAGGACACTTTCCTGGCTTGGAACCCCCATAAGACCATGGGGTGGTAAGAGGCATTGGGAGTGATGAGAGGGGTGGGGGCTCCATGCAGCTGCAGCAATCTCTGGGGGCAGCAGGCTACAGGGATGAAGGGTCTGGGGGCTGCCCCAGAAGGCTGGGGGCAAAGGAAGCGTCTTCCATTCTCTGGCTCTTCACAGAGGTCTGAGGAAGGTCAGCAAGGCAGGTCTCCTGCAGCCCCTCTGCGGGATGGAGGCAACAAGGCAGCCACATGACTGTAGTTGGCTGCTTCTATCTGATGGTTTGTCCTTCCTTCCTTCCGGCTGCTGTCCTGTGACTTGGCTCCAGGGACCCTAACAATCAGACTCTTTCGCCCTTCCTGCAATCCACATCCTGAGGGTCAGCACTCAAGGAGTGTGGGGGGAAGACAGGGAGGAAGCCACTGCCTGCGCACTGGGAAACTAATGCACAGCCAGGCTAAGTGAATTGCCCAAGTCACACAGCCAGGGACCGCCTGCCCTTGCCCAAAGGGAACTGGACTGTGCCCTCCCTAGCACAGGAATCAGACCAGGATACTGAGAGGGACCTGGGAGGCCCCCACCCCATTTAACCAACCAGGAAGCTGGTACCAGAGGGCTCAGGCGAGCGGCTCAAGTCACACGACCTCCACCCAGCAGACGGGGATGGAAGGGGTCTGAGTCTGGCCAAAGGGGCCCAGGTAGGTGGTGTGCAGCCAGACTGCTGACAAGGGGACGGCCCCAGAGCACCCCAAGGGTCTGTGGAGGGGTCACACCTCCTCCTGGTGAATCAGGATGCTGAGGACTCAGTGACGCTGGGGGACACTGTTGGGCTCCCAGGCCCGGCCTAGGGTGGGTGCTATACTTCTGCAGTGCAGGCCCTTCTGCCGCTGTGCTGGTGGCAGCCCCCCGACACCCTGCCCCGGCGCTGTGATCATTTCTGGGGCTTCCAGCAAGGGCCTTCAGTCTTCTGCTGTACAGAGAGGGTACTAGGAGGCCCCCAGTCTAGCAGAGAAAAAGAGTTAGGAATCTGGGACCCAGATACAAGCCTGCATCCTGCCCCACCTCAGGACTCCTACAGCCCCTCCCGGCCTCCTCTGAGTGGCCAAGGGGACAGGGCAGGCTCGGGGAGGGGCAGCGGGGCAGCTTCTGCTCTCACTGATGGGACATGCCGCCGCCGGCTCTGTGTGATGCTCAGTGAACACAGAGCTGATCCATGGCCAGCAGAAGGCTGGGGACAGCACACCCGGCCCTGCCTCCAACTCGCGAGCCCTCCTCTTAGCTCACACGTGGGGCCCTCCACCTGCCTCCCAGCCTCACAGAGGCCTCCCCCCCGCCCTGATGCAGCGCCACCCACGCACTGTTGTCCTGTGCCCTGACCCTTCATGTCTCCAAGGTCCAAGGGGGAAGTGGGGACCAGCAGGACGTTCACCCCAGACCAGCGGCTCCTTCTACACCTCAGAAAAGGCTCTCCCGGGGGGCATGGAGCTGACTGTCCTAGCGTGTCTGGGACACACTTACTCCTACAGACTGCTGAGGGGTTTCAGAGCTCTGCTTATCTCAGAGTGGGCTAGGAACTAGCAGCATGGCGTGGGAGCCGTCGTGCTGGGCACCTGGCAGCGTCACTTTTCTGGGTTGTGTTGTCAGCCCCTCGCTGCTGTGTGATGCCGCAAGAAGCCCTTCCCCTCCATTCCCAGCAGACTTGCTGTCGGCCACCAAACCCCAGACAGAAGCTCCAGAGCCCACGCTCACACACAGGGAGCGGGCCCTCAGCCTCAGTCCCGCCATCCATGAAATGGGAAGATAACTGCACCCGTCTCCCGCCCTGGGAAAGCTGAACAGAGGTGGCTCGGGGAAGGCACAGCCATGGGGGCATATGGGGCGTGGGTGCTCTCCGCCGGCCTCGGCCCACTGCTCTGTCCAGTGCAGGCCTTTCTGCCGCTGTGCTGGTGGCAGCCCCCAACACCCTGCCCAGGCACTGTGACCGTTTCTAGTGCTGCCAGCAAGGGCCTTCATTCTTAGGCTGTACAGGGAGGGTGCTGGGAGGCCCCCAAACTAGTGGCGAAAAAGATAGGAAACTGGGCCCCAGACACAAGCCTGCATCCTGCCCCCACCCCTGCACCCTGGGGGTGGGGAAAGCAACAGGGACCCCAAGGGTGATGCCATCTGAGCATCTGGCCTGTCCACGCCCACACGCTGAACTGCACAGACCGCAGCGCTGAGCCCCTCAGGGCAACGTTCCTGCCTGAGGCTTTCGGAACCTAGGAAATTGCCACACTGGCTTCCGCCACCCGTTTGAAAAGCGCTGCTTCCTTCTCAACCTGACAGGCATCTCTTCTGGGAAGCTCTGAGAGCTGCCATGTCACCCTCCGCCCCTCCACTCTAGCTGCAATGGCCTATCTGCCTGGGCAGGGGCCCTGGGGTCAGGAAGCCCCCTCAGCTTCCCTCTGCAAGGTCTTTAATTCCCAGTAGCAGAGAGACCACCTGCAGCCCAGGGACATTCTGCCTCCTTGGGGGTACTGGGAGCTGCCGCAGGCTGAGCCACCCTCTACGAGGCAAGGTTTGTTTTTGCCAGTGGGGGCACTCATTTGCCCTGGGACCCCTGCTGTGGCCATGAGCCTTTTGAGATGACACTTGATAAGGATCACAGTATTGCACAGCATTTACTGACAAGTGCTTTGTGTGAGTTGCCTCATATATCCTTACTGTCATCAACATCTCCATTTTACAGGTGAGGACACGAGGCTCAGAGAGGCTACGCAGCTTGCCGAGATCACACAGCCAGTGAGAGGCAGAGCTGGAATTGAAACTCTGGGTGTGTCCTAGTGGGTTAAAGTCAGGACTGATCCTGGGAGAGCTCAGTGCCCTGTCTGTGCCAGGGGCACATGTGTGCCCTCAAAAGATGGGCTCCGCCATTAGCCATCACGCAGAGACCCAAGAGCAAAGCGGGCAGATGCAGTCCCAAGGACCCAGGCTCACTGAATTTTGATGATGTCATATAAGAGGGCTCGGGGTGAAGCATCTCCAGGTGGGTAGAGTAGACACCAGCACCCCTGAGTTGGACTGGCATCCCCAACACCCCAGTGCTCAGGCACAGCCGTGCAGACCTTATGCTCTGGGTGATAGAGGCTGATGGGGCCCCTCTCAAAGGGTCTTCCCTCCCAGCTCCGCACTGGCCCACAGAAAGGGCACCCTCTCAGGTGACACAGAGAGGGACACTAGCAGGGACCATCTACGTCTGGCTCTTGGCACCCAGGTCCCCATCTCAAGGACAGTTTCACAAGCAGGGGCTTCCCAACCTCCCAGCCATACCTAGAACACTCCTGAAAGAGGGAGGCTGTGAGCAATGCCAGCCCCTGCTGTGCCCACCCCTTTTCCTACTAAGGGCAGATGAGAAGGGTCTGCCTGGTGCCAGCACAGCAATTCCTGCTCATGTTTTCTCTCTTCTCAGAATGGCTTAGTGCCAGCTCTACCGCCAGGCCAGTGCTCGGAGGACAGGAACGTCCCCTGCCCAGGGCATGCCCAGCAGCTGTCAGAAGCTGCAGCACTCTGCTGCCTTGGGCAGAAGCCCCGCCACCTCTCCCCACCCAGCAGCTTCACATCTGCACCCCAGTGCACACTGGTCCTCAGGTACCCCAACAGGTCTGCGCCCCATGCACACAGCGGTAGATGTATGGAGGCACTGGGCTGCAGCAGAAAACCAGGGTGATGGCAGGATCCCTAGACAAGGCAGAGGAAACTCGGATCCATCTCCCCAGGGAGCCTGGGGCCCAGATTTTTAACAGTTCTGGAGTGGCCGAAGTATGGAGATCGATTGCTGGAAAGGGCAGGGTGAAGTCACAGCACAGAAAGAGGAAAAAGCTGTGCTTTTGTGCCGATCCCATTCCTCTGTTGGGGGGATCTCCAAACTGGTTGCTGGAATTGAGGTCTAAAAAACATCTTGGGCCAGAGAGCAGCCTGAATCAGCCTGATTAATTATGAGTATCTTTCTGTCCAGAACCTGGCATGCAATTCTTGTCAACCTTTGGGGATGGCTTCATTCGCCTTCCTATGACCACGTGTCCTGGGGCCTGCTCAGCACCTGGTATCATCAGGCCCTGCTCACCCCTGCCCCTCCTCCAGCTTCTGCGTCTGGAAGTTCCCTACCTGTCTCAGGCCTGGCCCACCTCCCCTCCCACCCTGCATTAGAAGCAGTGGTGAGCTGGAGTCACACTGTCCCGGCTTCTGGTGAAGGCCTCGAACATGGCAGTTACCCCCACTCACCTCAGGCAGGCCCGGCATGCCCCAGGAATTATTTCTATGCAGACGAATTTTATGTGCCAACTTTTGTTTCTTCTCACAAGCCTGCTGGCCCATGGGATCTTTCCATTCATGTTGCCCTGGCCATCACAACCACTATCTGAGTCACCCACCACCCTCCGAACACAGCAGCAGCCTCCAGCGGGGTCTCAACTCCTCCCAGCACGCAGCCCATGCCTCCCCTCGGTCAGTTCAGCCACCTTCCAGCTGCTCCCCATGCCCCTCTGCTCACCCATTTTACCCTCAGGTTGGCATCCTCTCCTTTGCCCCAGGTTGGCTCTGACCTTCCTCCACTGTGGGCTGGGCCTGTCTCAGAGTCCTCACTGCATCTCCCTTAGCACCTGCCAAACAGTCCTTCTTGAATGAGTAAATGGCGACCATGGTGTTTCTAATTAGTCACATCTGGGTTTAGCCCCTCACCCTGCACACCAAGCTCTTGGTCTCCTGGCGGCAGAATGGGCATGCAGGAGTGAGAAGAAACAGCAATGTGGGGCCCTCCAGGCACAGCAGACAGAAGAGGAGAGCACCCCTTCTCCCACTGCCTGCCTTCAGCTGCATGGGGCAAAACCCACAGTTCTCTGACCCGAGGAGGCTCTCAACAAGCTGGTTAGCTCAGCACCTGCTGGGCCATTTGTTCTCCCTGAAGATGATGGGCCTCTTTAGGGAGTTAATTCTTCATGATGGACCTTTCCTTGTTAATTTCTCTTAACAAATCATCCTAAAAATAGGTTTGACTTTTAAACATTTTTAAATTAAAAATTGAGCTTTTAATGTCTGTTTAGACAACTGTAAGACAGTCAAAGGTTTATTGACTTGAAGCCTACATTTCAGGACACATGTAAATAAAAATATACCAATTTCAGTATTTTTCATAACCTTTTGTAAAATTTTTGTAACTTTGCCAGAGTATTTTAGGAACTAACGTCACAAGCTTGGAAGGGAAATTGATCTGAAGTTCAGCGTAAACTGAGTTTCACTTCGCTGTTAAAATTCTGTTAATTTCAAGTACAATTAAATTTAATACATTTTATGTTAAAATGTTAACAGTGGTTAGCTTTACGAAATCAATAATTTTTATTTTTTGTTATGCTCCTCTGTATTTTTCAAATTTCCTACCAAAAATAGATAAGCTTATAATCAGAAAAAGTCATAAAATGTAGTTTTTACAAAGAAAAAATGGGCAGGCAGCCATATTAACGTCATGTGAGGGAAAAAAACACTAACTTCGGACGGCAAAAATACACTGGACACACTACCCCTTCCACACGGGTATCTCTTTCTCTGCTGTTCAGATGACAAGGGACCAGCAGAAACCAAGCTGGTTTCCAGAACAGTTTTTTGTTCTAAGTAAAAACCACATTTGACTTCCTGTCGTCAACAAGCACAGGGACGAAAGGAGCTGCCTTTGGCACTGGGGCCCCCTCCTGCCTGAGGGTAACACTGCAGGTCCCCAGGGAACCCCCACTGCCAGCACCAGTGTCAGAGTCACCTGGGAGCTTGGGGAAATGCAGGTTCCAGGGCCTCCCCTAGCCGCAGGCCCAGCCTCTGCTGCTCAGTTTCTATTCCATCTTCAGAGGCCTTAGTCTTCTTAAGCAAAGGCTGCAGAGGTTTCAGTGGGAATGTGTGTGGCACAGATGACTCTGAAGGACAGTCCCAGGGCATGCTGGCATAGGACACAGCTATGTACCAGCACAGGGGACCAGCACAAGGGACCAGCACGTGACCAGCATTCTCTATGGGGTGGGGTACCAGCACTGTAATGCTTTCTTGAGATGGAAGACCAGGCTCCCTGAGCTGTTAGGGCACGCACAGTCATCCAAAGCCCAGCCATGAAGTTCACCTTGTGGCCCGGAACCAACCACAGGACAGCCATGTGCCAAGCAGTCTCCCTTTACAATGGAGACTCATTACCAGGATGGGGCGACACCCCCAAGGCCACAGAGCTTCCACAGACCCACTCCTCTGCCCACTCCCGGCATTGCACCACCCAGCCTGAGGGTACCATATGGTGACCAGAAGTCCCGTCGTCCTGGCTCTCTACCCTTGGTGGCATCTAGTGGGTACCCACAGGCATCCAGAACCCAGGGAGGGCCTCCTGAAGACTTCATGCAGCAGCAGGAATGGCCTCCTCTGGGGCCTTCGCTCTGAGCTAACAAAACACTGTCATCCTGGCACGGCCTCCTTGCTGTGCCCAGCTATGAAGCCTGCCCATCTTCCCTCCCCCAATCGCCCTGCCCCACAGGCCCTGGGCCCAGCTATCCATCCTGGCAATAGCAGGCATGCACATCCTGCAGGCTCAGGCACCCAGACTCCTGCCTGCTGTCCCATTCCCCGCCCAGCCAGCCCAATGGCCCTATCTACTTCCCAGCCCCAGTTCAAGGTCAAAGGTATCTCTTGCTCCCCTCTGTTGGGCCTCATGATCACGTACTGAGTCCCTGTGGGAGGGGGGACCTTGTCTCCCGTTGGACACCCCACTTCTGCTCTGGGCAATGATGCTACCTACGCTCTGGGCTCTGCTGAATTGACAGCCGGGTCTCCACTTCCTATCGCTAAACCCACCTTCCGCACTGAAAGACTGAATGTGGAACCCTAAGGCCTGCCACACACTCACTTAAGGTGCTCGGGAGGACACAGCCCAGGGAAGCTGAGCTGAGTCCCCCAGGGAGTGAGACCCAGAGGGCCCTCTGCAAGGACACTGCACTCTCACCTGCACCCACCAAGCCACAGTCACAGCCATATGCCCCTCGCCAGCACTCACAGTGTAGTTCAGGCCACTGAGGAGCTGAACATTCTATTTAACCTCATCAAGATAATGTCAAAAACAACCGTGCTGGCCAGGCCTGCCTTGCAGGACAGCTCAGCTCCAGAGCATCCAGCACACTAGCACGTCAGGAGAATCTGGGACTCTTCTCAAAAGAGAAGCAGTGCGCAAGCCTGAAGCCCCTCCACCCACCCTCCCTCCCCCAGGTTTAGGCAGAACTTCCCCAAATTTTTAACTTATTGTTTTAATATACAAGTCATCCATGACTATTATAGAAAAATTGAAAAATGCAGAAAAACCCAAATTCAAATCACCCACATGGGCCTCTAACCAGCAAAGGCCTTCATTCACGCCATACGGAGGCCGTGGGGCCTGTTCATACTCGCACTTCCTTTATAATAACATCTGAAGTCTGCTGCCCAAGTGACCAAATGCCCACACCTAGCCTCACCCCCAGCTTTTCTCCTGCCCACCCCCCTCACCTGCCCACCCCCTCACCTGCCCACCCACTCACCTGCCTACCCACCCACCAGGCCTCCTAAGTCTTGGGGCCCAGGCCCACGGCCACCCATGACCCCCAGTACCCCCATCTCCATATATATCTGTTTCCATAGACAGGTCCTGTCCTCCCACCTGGCTTCTAGCCACTCTGAGGTTCTCTCACCCATTTATCCGGAGGAGGTGAGATCCAGCAAACATCAGCTTTGGGTCCCCAGTCAGCAGGATGGGGCTCTAGAAGGAACTTAGCAAGCAAGGGTGAACAAGGAATAGCCCAGGGTCTTCGGTGAGCTAGATGTGCTTGGGCCCAAGGGCATCCTGGGGCCCACTGTTCTCTGCTTCTCTAAGAGCTGGAGCAAGAGCGTGGGGAGCTAAGGAGGGATGTCAGGGTCCTGGCTCTGCCCAGCTCTGGTACAGATGCTAGGGGACATGACTACAGGGAAGCCCCCAATGCTACTTCCCTATCTTTTATCCAAATGCAGACCTCACAGCAGAGCAGGCCTCCCCAACCTCAGCAAAGCTTATGGACACTGTCACTCACAGGAGTGTGCCATGACTGTCCCCGGAAAGTCAGGAGCACAGGGGCACAAGGTGCTGCAGGCTGCCCGGAGGGGTGCCCTCCTGTGGGCTGGTCCCCAGCCTGACAGCCAGGCAGGTGGAAGGCCTTGAGATGAGGATGGTGCCACCTCCTTCTGGTGGGAAGCACTACCTCCATCCACCGCCTAGAGGGCCAGGCTGGGGCTGACTTTCCCCACCGTCCTAAGGTCACATCCCATACTGAGGGTCTCACCTGGGGACATGTTCTGCTTTTCTTTAACACGTATGTTGGAAATAAGCCTGGGTTCTGAAGGGGTATGTGTGAGGTACAGGTTCATTGCACCCCCTGGCACCTGGTCCTCAGCTCTGAAAATGGAGCAATAAATGCACTGCAGGGGTGTCAGGTGAGCAGGTAAGGGGAAAGGTGAGGAGGCAGGTAAGGGGGGGAAGGTGGAGGGCAGGTGAGGGAGCAGATAAGGGGACAGGTGAGGGGAGCAGGTAAGGGAGAATAGGTGAGGGGGGACAGGTGAGGGAGGCAGGTAAGGGAAGACAAGTGAGGAAGGACAGGTGAGGGGGCAGGTGAGGAGGGCAGGTGAAGGGGGCTGGTGAGGAGGGCAGGTAAAAGGGGCAGGTGACGGGGCAGTTGAGAAGGCACAGGTGACAGGGGCAGGTGAGGGAGGGACAGGCAAAGGGGGTAGTTGAGGGGGCAGATGAGGGGACAGGTGAGGGGGCAGGTGAAGGTGGGGCAGGTGAGGGGGCAGGTGAGGAAGGCAGGTGAAGGGCACAGGTGAGGGGGCAGCTGAAGGGGGAACAGGTGAGGGGACAGGTGAAGGGGAACAGGTAAGGGGACAGGTGAGGAGGGCAGGTGAAGGGCACCGGTGAGGGGGCAGCTGAAGGGGGACAGGTGAGGGGACAGGTGAAGGGGGACAGGTGAGGGGACAGGTGAAGGGGCAGGTGAAGGGGGACAGGTGAGGGGGCAGGTGAGGGGAACAGGTGAAGAGGGCAGGTGAAGGGGGCAGGTGGGGAGGGCAGGTGAAGGGGGCAGGTGGGGAGGGCAGGTGAAGGGGGCAGTTGAGAAGGGACTGGTGACAGGCAGGTGAGAGGGGACAGGTGAGGGGGCAGGTGAAGGCGGGGCAGGTGAGAGGGAGCAGATGACAGGTGGGTGGGGCCAGGAGGTACAGGTCGACAGAGAACTGAGCGCCACAGAGGCATGAGGCATGACACCTGGACCGAAGGCCCTGCTAACATCAGTGTTCTTGTCTGGTTGTTTCTCTCTTTCAGGTATCTGTTCCCAGGACCTTAAGTCAGGTGTGAAGCCAGGATTTCCCCAAACAATAAAGACCAACGACCCAGGAGTCCGCCAAGCAGCCAGACACAGTGTTGAGAAGTTCAACAACTGCACGAACGACACCTTCCTGTTCAAGGAGTCCCGCATCAGAAAGGCCCTGGTCCAGGTGAGGGTCTGGGTTCTGCTCACATGTGAAGGGCACCCCTAGGAAGCCGAGCTGCTACAATGCAGCACCTGGGAGAGCAGGGCAGACCTAATGTGACGTCCCTCCTGAGTGCAGCACTCCGGGCAGAAAGGAGGTATACACGGAGTGGGAGCAGACAGCAGTCACTGAGGCCAGCATCCCCCAGAGCCAAGCACAAAGGTTACACAAAGCATGCGGCTCCAGGGTGGTTACAGGCCACTGGCCGGAGCCCACTAGGCATGGGGTAAAGAGGCGCTGGGGCTCTACCAGGGCTCCTGGAGGCCGGCGCCAAGGCTGATGGGGAGGAACCAGTGAAGCTACTGTCCAATGAGCTGCCCCTGCTGGGCCCACGGTCCGCACCTGGCCTCCCCACTCACTTGCAGGGCAGCCTAGGGGTGTCCTTGCACTTCCACCTCAGTGCTCGCTCACGTCCCAGAGTCCCAGAGCTCTGCCCAAGCCACTGATGTTTCCCTGACTCATGCCTATTGTGGAAGGTGCCTCCTCAGCGCCCTTCCCCCAGGGGACCCTCCAAGGCACAGCCAGGCCTTGTCTGTGTCCTGAGAACAGCCGCTTGCTAATGTGGGACGCAGGCTGTGGGTAACACTCAGCACTGTGCACTGGTGCCTGGAGGGGAAGGAACAGAAGCAGCCCTGTCCAAGACTGCCGTCACAGTGTCCGCGGTTACACCAGGTCAGGGGTCGGGGTGATGCAGGCCCTCCCTCCTTCTCTGGGGAGGCCAGTGGGATTCTCTGGGCCTGAGTCCTCAGGGTTCTCTGGGAGGAGGCTTGGAGGTTGTCCCTCTCTAGCTTGGTGATGTTGGGGACAAAACAATTTCCCTGGGGCTAGGGCTGAGACTAAAACCTGAAGAATTTTTCTTCAACTCCTCTAAGTCCACAAATGACAATGAATCAGGCAGCTGCCATGTCCAAGTGGAGAAGGGCTGTCCCGAAAATCAATACTCCCAATCCCAGGAAGGGGAAGCCCACACACCCCAGGCCTGACACAGAGGCCATGAGAAACTGCCATCATGGGGCTGGAGTGAGGGCAGGCTCAGGGGGGCATGCGGGAGACCTAGTGTCACGTCCCTCCTGAGTGCAGGGCTCTGGGCAGAAAGGAGACGTCTGTCCCAGGAAGGGACACAAACTCCAGCACGGAGCAGGGAGGAGAGCGGGAGGGTGTGCAGGCTCCGCTCTAAGTCCGAAGCGCTGCCCCAAGCCGGCCCACTTCCCTTCTACTCTGGGCACCCACACCACTGTCCTGAGGCCCCGCTTCCAGTGAAGGAGGGCCTCCTGCCCTCCCTCCCCCATGCCCAGTAACCCAGTCCCTCTGTCCCTCCAGATAGTGAAAGGCCTGAAATACATGCTCCAGCTGGAAATTGGCAGAACTACCTGCAAGAAAAAGCAGCACCCACGTCTAGATGACTGTGACTTCCAAACCAACCACACCTTGAAGCAGGTAAAGCAGCGGGCCCTTCTGAGATGTACCCTCTTCCCCAGCCCACTCACTACCAGGGCTGTGAAAAACACCCTGTCACCACTTCTCTAAGGCACCACTCCAAACCTCACCCCTGAGGAAGCCCGGCCTCCCAGCCTCCCGGCCTCCCAGCCTCCCACACGACCAAGGATCCAGGAGAGCGGGAGGCAGAGTCTGTGCTAGGAGCTCCTCAGACGACATCCTCCCTTCCCGGAGGTGGAGACACAGCTCCAGAGGAGAGTTCCGAGGTGCAAGCAGAGAGGGTTAGAGCAAGAAAAGCTTTCAAACAATCCAGAAATTATATATATCTTTGACATATAGCATATCTCTGCAGAGAGACCAAGAAAAAGGAAACATGGCAACATTTAGCAATTATAAATCTAGAGGCGAAAAGCATATCTTCTTAAATCATTCTGTCAAGGTTTCTGTAAGTTTGAAATTTTTCAAAATGAAAACTAGGGGCAGGAGAAGAGCTCCTCCATGAGGAACCCTTCCAAGGGCAGAGGGCTCCCCAGGGGGCAAGTCAGAACCCTTGGTGTGCCCTTCTCTGTTTCAGACTCTGAGCTGCTACTCTGAAGTCTGGGTCGTGCCCTGGCTCCAGCACTTCGAGGTACCTGTTCTCCATTGTCACTGATCCCCACCTCTTCAGCAAGACCAACAGCTGTGACAAACACCAGGGAGCGTCCCCTCCCACCCGCCTCATGACCCGGCCTCACAGACCAGCTCGGGCCTCTCCCAAGTGAACAGATGCAGTGCTGCGGGTCACTGCAGGGCGGCTGGGATGGGAGCATGCTGGCACCTCCTAACAGATTAAATAGATCACATTTGCTTCCAAAATTAACTCCTGTTTCTGACACTGCACACCTAGATTCTGGGTCTGGGTGTAGGGGACTGAGACAAGGGAGGGAGTTGTGAGTAAGGGATGATCCCCCGTGGCTACAGGCCCCCAGGAGGGCAGGGCTGCAGCTCTGGTTCTGAAGAATCTGCAGAGACGTGGGTGGGGACCCCCTTAGCCACTGAGTGCCTTGGCCTATTGTGATGAATAGCTGGGAATCAAGATAAACCACTAGCGGCAGCCATGCTGGCCTTTTTAGGGGAGAGCTGGGGGGTGAGGCAAGCCTTGCCAGGGGTCCCCCTTACCAAGGTGTCTGACAAGTTGAAGTGACTTCCCCTGGGGGCCTGGCCAGCCTGAGCTGCTAGCTACAATCCCCCAAAGTCCAAAACCCCAGAACAGGTGATCTGTCCACACCAGAAGCGGCAGGGCCACAGTTCTGCCTCCTTGAGATTCAGGTCTCCCAGGGATTTGCCCCACTGCCTGAGTGGGGGCAGAACAGCAGCCCACTCCCCAGAGCCCTCCAGAGAGGGAGCCCCACTGAAGATGATTGTGCTGGGGGTGCAGGAGGAAGGAGAAGCCACCGAGGGCTGGAGGACACCAGGAATTGGAAGTAGACTGGTGGAAGTGCCAGGCTTGGCCACCCCGAGACCTGGGTACCCCAAAGGACTCTGCTGTGAGGCCAAGGTCCGAGTCAGTGCCCTGCCATGATCCACAGGCTCAGCAGCCACTGCCCAGCCAGGCGCTGTCTCCCTTGCTCTCAGCTTCACCCGAGCTTTCTCCAGTCATATCCCCGGGAGGCTGGCTTAGCTATGCTGGCTGTGACTCTGGCAGTCACTAAACTAACCCCTCAGAGCCTCAGTTCCCATTGGCACAATGAGGCCATGCCTTCTGGAATCATTAAGAGTCACAACTCTTATGTGAACAACTTTCAGAACTACAGACCACTCTGCAAGCATAAGCTGATGATAAAAACCTCAAGCTGAGACCTCTGTCCCATGAAACATAATAGCTGAATCTTGATGGAGTTTCAGGAATGGATAACAGAGGCACACAATGAATCACCTGATTAATTTTAAGAGCATGTTAGTAATTCACGTTAGAATGAATCCCTTTATATTACAGCCAAAGCGCATCACATATTTAAACCTAATAAGAAGACTCCATTTCACACCTCATTGTGTCAAATTACCAGACAGAACACAGGAAATGACACTTGGAGACAGAAAATCAACAGCTGAGTCAAAATCAAGACTCCTTTGCTGAAAACTGTGAAAAAACAGTTTGCCAGCTTCCTTATAGCTGTGAAAATTAAGCACTGAAAGCAAAGCTCTCTGTTCTCAATTTAAAAAGAGAAGGCCACCTGTAAGGCCAACACATTTAAACTGTTTCTATGACAGAATGATCAGGTATTATCTTATTTTCTTTGTCAATTTAAAAAGAGAAGAACACCTATAAGCCCGACACATTTAAACTGTTTCTATGACAGAATGATTAGGTATTATCTTATCTTCTTTGCATACCTCACCTGTGAAGCACATCATTTGTCACTAAAAGTATTTCTGCTGACCACTAATTGTCTTTCCTATAGAATCACATTAAGTTTTGAATTGTTCATCTGACAGAATGTAGGTCACACTGACTAGAGAGAAGCTGATCTCTGCCTCTGTCCTACTGGTACTGGCCCCAGGAGCCAGCCCCGAGAAGTGAGGACACACAATTAAGCATCAGACTCCCAACTCTCTTCCCCCAGCACGGAGCCTGGCCAGCGCTGAGGGGAGAGAAGGGCACAGGAGTCCAAGGCCAGCCAGTGCATATAGATGGGCCCAATGTTACCACAGCTACCAATTCTCTGAATTTTTATCCCATTACATATTTATATTACATATATCATCACATATTTATCTGATTTTTTTCTAACTTTTATTGCTATCTAAAATATTGTCTCTATGAAGTTATTCCAAACATTTTTGGAGACACAATCTCTTGTTACTCTCACAAATACCCAGGAAGGAAAGGAACAGGTATCAGCCCCATTTTGTAGGCTGGAAAACAGGAGAGAAGTGTAATGTCAACTTACGCCAGAAGGAGTGAACGTCGAGAGCAGAGGGCCTAAGGCTACCTGCCCCCTGCCTGAAGACTGCTGCCTGAGAAAGGTCCCGTGGCTTCCCTTCCTGAGCTAGTTGGATGGACTGCTCGGCCTTAAAACCCTCCTCACCAAGGCAATTCTTACATCAACACCTGATGGAATTAAATTTCACTCACTTAATCAGAGAAGAAACTCCCATGCCATAGCACCAAAAAAGGTAAATCAGCAGCGGTCCATTTATCTTATTTATTATCAAAATCATGACCAGTGTGTAGACATTCTTGTTACTTGGGGCTTATAACACATGGGCAAAGATGACATTAACACATGCACTGTTCACATTTTGGGGTCTAGGGGTCAAGAACAACTGTCACAGACAGGACATTACTGAACACACCCCTGCAATAGGTCCCAAATTGCAGAATCATCCAGTTCCAGCATGGTCAGCATGGGCAGTGTGGAGATATTCACAGAAAGAAACCCCACAAAGTTCTCTCTGAGCTGCTAGAGTCAACATGCTTTTCCTATGCACTAAGGAGAGCCCACGTCCCACACAACCCTTGAGAACACGGTTCCATTCTTGGCTTACATGGCTCTCGCTGCTGGCCTCAACACCCTTGGGCCATGCTCCCTCTGCTCTTCCATCCCCCCCACCACCAACAAACAAAGGTATGATCGCACATTATATGATAGTAAAGAAGGACACTGAGGCCAAGGGACAGGGTCGCAGCAGCAAGCTCATGGGCAGTGCGCCACTGCTCCACTCACCTGAGCCCTGTTCCCAGTGCAAGAAGCTTCCCAAGTCCTAGAGAATGACTGTACTTGGAAAGCTTTGTTTTGTTTTAAGAGAAAATGGCTTTACATGAATTTATCTTCCCTGCGGCAGATATGTTACACTTCCCTCTAATCAGAAAGATGGGCCCAGGTGAAGGTGTCCCTGGCAGGACCCGGGCATCCTCAAAGAGGATGAAGCAGCCGTGCCCACTACCCCTCAGGGACAGGTGCATGTGGACACTTGAACCACGACTGTGTCCACAGCTCCTTCTGGACCAGGCCTGGTGCCTGAGTGTGAAGACTCCTGGCTTGCATGGCAGGGGCAGCTATCTGGGCGGGCTAAACAGACTGGAGGCTGAGTCTGCAGATAAAGGGGGACCTGAAGGAGCCCAGGTACAGGTACCCGTCATGCTCATGCACCTCGCTGATGTAGGTGACCACCAGCCCGTCAGGATCATGCAGGCTTCTTCGGAAGGCACCGCTGTCGCTGAGTTCTAGGACAAGGCTGTACCTCGGCACAAACTTCATCACCGTCTCCTGACTGAAGAGCTAGAGGGAAGCACAGTGCAGGGAGAGTTCACCACCTGGCCAAGAATGCTGTGAGCAGATCAACCGCGCCTCCCCCACCATCCAGGAATGGCCTGACTCCTTCCGTGACAGGGCAGCCCCACAGGGCAGTGCCAAGACTAACCCAGCTCCCACTCCCAGCCCAGGGGCCCCAAAGCAGGCCCCACCCCACCCCACCCCTGTCCCTGTGAAGATCAGGCCAAGGAGGCTCCCCAGCACAAGGACAGCAATGTGAGCACATCTCTAGATGGCCTGGCTGAACTCAGAGGGACACACATCACATCCAAGGCAGTCACAGCACTGAAGCCAAGGCTCAGAATGACCTTGACCCATCAGATCACAACCAGCACAGCTTCCCTGGAATACACAAGTCTTCTGTTTAGGTTTAAAACATTTCAGATAGGCAAGGTGCCAATGATGGAGATTTGAGAACAGTTCACTTTCAAAACCAACGAGCAGGTCTACACACCACACAACATGGCTTCCAAAACACTGAAATCCCACTGCTTTCCTCAAAGCGGGGTGCAGATCCTGAGGAACACCTCCATGGACAAATGGAAAAGCGCTTAGACTTGGACTCTGTGGCCACTCAGGGCTGTTGAAGAGTTTTAAGCAGAGAAACCAGATGGCAAGTGACATGATTTCTGGCAGAGCAGAAGGACACCTGGTCAGAAATTATGACAAAGCACTCCACTGCCTAAGACCAAGGAATGGAAATAAACAGACAGATTTCCAGCTTTTCATACAAGGGAAAATACCCAAACAAGTGTCCACCAAATAATGTCACCGTCACTGGAATGTTCAAGCAGACAGAAAAGCTGACTGGGCTCTAGGTTCAAGAGCAATAGATCAACTGCATTACAGCTCAAAAAATGCCCAAGGCTTCCCACAACCCACAACTGCTGTTCGGCCGTGAATCCTTCCCTCTCTCTTCTCTTCTCCCTAAGAGACCTGATCCTCTCTCACTATTACAATTAGTCACTTTCCCAGAAAGCTCTCAAATCTCCACCTCTATTTCCAACCCCAGTGCTAAGTCACTTACTGTCTGGGACCCATGTCTGCCTGGACTTTCTAACAGCACTTCAAATTCGACAGCCTCCCAGCTGCAGACAAGGCAGGACCTCGGCCCTCATTCTTGATCCCACTTCTCTGTGCCCTACAAGTCCAGCCACCAGTCTTGCCATCCTGCTGTGTGTGTCCCGGGCCTGGGCCCTGCCCCACTGCCTCTCCCCAGTCACTGGGACAGCCTCCTGAGCCCTGCTGCAAGCTGTTCTCCTTACAGGGGATGCAGTTATCTTTAAAAACATTCTTTGTACTATATCACTCCCCTCCTAAACAACTCCGTCAAGACACCACACGTGGGGCAGAGCAGGGTACATGTGTACCCAGACCATGGTGGCCCACTCCACTTGGGGTGAGAAGGTGTCCCTGCAGTGGGGTGACCCTGCCTGGGCTGTCAGGGCCCACACAGGGTGAGGAGGTATCCCCACAGTGGGGTCCAGATCAGGTTATGAGAGCCCGTGAAGGTGAGGAGATGTACACCCAGGGACAGCCCGGTGCAGGGAGAAAGCCCTTGAGA